GTCCCACTAGCACTCCTCTAATTCATCATGTACTCTGTTCTGGTTTTTAAGCATCTTCATTTTGTATGGCTTACCTGTTTACAAACACATCATCCACATTTTGTTCGTATTCAGCGTTCATTTGCTGCGTGCTAAATTCCTCAGTTGCAAACGTTATAGGAGATTTTAAAGTTAGGTTGAAGTACTTTCTGGATTCCCAAACTACGAATTTTCAACTGCTTGTCAGTGCTACATTGTAAAATTCTTTCTTTTCCTAAAATCTATACCCTCTCAGGGCCGTGTTATTGAACCTTTGTCTGATTTTCACAAAGACGAAGTACGTCAGATCGGACGGCAGTTGGGTCTACCGGAAGAAATTGTGAATCGGCATCCCTTCCCCGGTCCCGGTTTGGCGATTCGAATATTGTGTGCAGTCGAACCGTTCGTGGAACGTGATTTTTCCGAAACCACCAGTCTCATCAAAATGATTGCGGGTTATCATGTGATGTCGCAAAAGGTCAGTAGAAAGGTTACCTTTGTTCTCACTTTTCATTCCGCCGCATGGTGCATTCTAACCTCATTTTGATTCGAGTTCCAAATTAGTTTTCGAAATAGGATTCTTGTCAGTAGTCGTGTGTTGATGATGCAGATTTCACACCAACACCTTCAGATAAAATATCTACACACAGAAGCGGGTTCCACGTTTAATCCATTTGGCAGAGTCTCAGGATTCTTTTCGACGTTCGTCTGGGTCGAACATCGTTGCTGAACTATACATCCGAGCAACAAACAATACTTTGATTCTTCTAACTTATCAAAGTTAGGAATCAGCTGATTTTCAGGTTTATTCACATCTATGGGAGCTGTGTGATACGCTTGTATGTTGCAACACGTTTACATTCTTACGACAGTTCGGCGTGGCATTGAACTGGATTTGATGTTTATGCTGTAAAACACGTAGACCAGCCGTTTGATCCCCAGTCCGTAGAAATTCATCACGAGAAATAAATATTTTTGTTCAATTTACGTCATTGTTCATTGTTGCCTGATTTACCCCGTAATGTGTTTTATTGCTGCAATAAAAGATCCCAAAATTTCTGCACCAAATCTGTGAGTATATGACACTCGTTTTACGGTTTAAGTTTAGGGACACGAGTTAAAAACGATCCTGATGAGTCTTACTCATCGTTCGTAAACCTTCCGCCGTTTGTTACCTCGAGGACGCGTGTGTATAACAAACTCATTTGCGGTTTTCTTTCTTAATGAACCACTGCTTATCTCATTCGTTGCTCGATAGACTAACACCTTGGTGGCAAGGAGTGCTCGTGCAAACAAGCAAACAAATATACATGCAAAATAGTTGGCATTGTCCGGCGGGATTGACCGAACTGTGTTTTGTGCTTCTCGAAAACGGCCACACTCAACGCAAATCTATTCACGCACATTTATACGTGCATCCTACTGTCTAATGAGGAGCACGCATCAGTTGAGACAACCGAATGGGGTTCGGAAGGTGTGAATGTTTTTCTCTCTCGGGTTGCACTCGTGTGTCTGTGATCTATCCCTCGTCGAACAGCACAAAGAAGTCAGTTTCTTCGAGTAAAAAGTGATCGATCTGCTTGTTTTGTAGTTGTGCATGCGTCGCACGGTGCCACTATGTGCACCATATACCACAATATTGGCACACGCGTTCACTCATGCTTGCGTTCCATGAGATAACTACTTTGTGCGCGCAAACCAGTCGGTGACCAGACAGATTGTTCTGTTCACACACTGATTACTACCAAAGCGATTTGATTAAGTTCATTCGTGATTAGCATACATGAGTTATTTGTTATCATATCTTTATGAGGGAATCTTGTCTATTGCACCAACCCTTATGGTCTAGATATGATCTGTCCCCCTACTCATCTTAGACGGCAAACTCGACTCATTCGAGGCACGCTGTCCTATAAATGCCGAATGTCACAAAAAATCGCAATATCTTTACAGTTTTGTCATTGAATCATGATTCTATTCGTGTCCATTACGTGCTCATTCTGAGACCCCAGGTTTAAGCATAAGGGACGCAATCTACTTGCAAATGGTCGCTTTTTTCGCTGGTTCGCGGAGCGCTCCGAAGCAACAACGACAAACGGCTCGACGCATACGATTGTTTTCCATTGGAGAGGTCACCTACAGAGCGTTTTTTGATTTCGCACTCTGGAAAAATAGATGCTTGGTGGCAATGATTAAGCTAATTTATCTGTCCTTTTGGCACCAAACACGCCTCAAATTGAAGTGAAAACATGTGAATAAACCTCGGTTGTCGAGTAAAGGGAGTATATTAAAATTGATGTTCAACAAACCGTCAGCTCAACATGTTTGTTGGATATTTGGTTATGCATGCACAGGTATTCATGTAATACTTCCTCGTCGGTAGGATCACGTAGCAGGTGTACATTTATGACGACGTGACACCACCGGTTATGCACAGCCGGCTCACGGAAACGCCAGCTTTGTATTAATGATTGTTCAAACTAAAATTGGCTAGTGGTTTCGGCTGTTAAGTACCAAAGTTTCCTATGCCGTTTGTACCTTGAAGATGTTATAACTTGTATTTATCTATTCCAAAATCCTAAATCACCCAGAGAAACTAAGTTCGGTGGACAAATTAATTCTCAAAATAGACTTCTGACCGGGTTGATTTTCAGATGGAGCGCTCTTATCTCGATCAGATTCACTGTTGTGTTATCATCTGGTCTGTTTTTTTGTCTGGTTTTTGTCTGTTTTTTTTGGTCTTGTAAGTGCATAGTGTAGCAATTGCTGAGTTTTATTCTTCGAACGTAAATGGTGGTCGCTGAGTGCCTTCGCTCATGACAATCGGTGCTGAAGTTCACACCTTGGTGTATTGATCGAGTTTAGTGAAAGATCTGAGTAAATCCTTCAGTGCTCGGTATTCGTGATCGTAAACTAACCTGAGTGCCTAATCACAATGGAGGAAGCCCGCTGCTCACGTCATTTGACGGAATTCGTCGATGGAGAATGTTCAGTTGGATGAAGTTTATTGGCCACCTACAGGATTATGTCTACTGTATTTCTTATCGGTTAACAGCCGATGGTGATCGCTTGCAAGCCTAACGTGGTTATTTGAGATCCACCAATATTGTCATGACGTTTCGATAGTTTGCGAACCAATTCTTTGAAATCATTCACATTTACGTAAATGGAAATAAACCTATGCATAAATCAACACGAAGAAAACAGTTTTATTGGCAAAGTAACCTGATGTGCACTTGGAATCAGTTTTCAGTTTAAACAAGCATTAAGCATGCATTTCCACGCGACGCTTCTGGTTGCTGTCTTTTGGCTACCCATTTGGATTAACAATAGGAGGAAGGCAGGAAATGTTGGAAGTAGGATCCAAGAGAAAATTCAGTTCAGTGGACTAATGAAGCAGGTAAATTGAGAAGATACACGAACGTCAGTGTTTAAGACACCCAGCCATATCACCCAATTTCTCTAACCACAGGTTACGACCATCCCGATGTCTCCAGCCAGGGAGCCTAACGGGATCTATGTGAACCAGACTCCTGGTTAGGGTTTTCATACCGTCATACCAAGTCTTGGATTGGCCACCCTTGGCTTTTTCCACCCACTACCTGCCTCGACAAACATCGATCGCTGTGGCAACCTATTTGGTGACATGCGTAACACATGCCTCTACCAACGTAATCAATGGAGGTCGACCACTTTCTCCAGTAGGCGACCGCAGTTGACTAAATCTTTTCGCCTGACCCCAGGATTACTATTCCGGTTTCCCCACCAGATTTGTGCAGTGCTACGTAGACAGCGGTGTTCAAACACCGACAGTCTATCTTAATCCTTTTTCCCAATGGCCAAGTTTATGCACAGCAGGATTGGCCGAATCGCCGCGGCATACACTCGACCCTTCACAGACAGTCGGTTGTCACGACGACGCCCTAGATGTCTCAAGTTTGCTAATGCCAACCGAGCCTTCTGTTTGCAAGCTGACGCTTCATCCGTGGTACATCCGCCTTCGGATGTAGCTGCCCAGATAAAACTTATTCACGTGCTGTATTTCTTCCTCAATTAGAGTGAGTCTGGCTGCTGGGATGAATCCAGTGTTGAAGTAACATTTTTCACTTTGAAGGTGCAACACGCACACCGAACATGGCTACACTGGCATTCAAGCTGTCCACAAAAACATGCAACCTACCTGGATATTCACTTGATAGCATTATGTCGTCTGCATATAGTAGATCAGACAGCTTTCCACCTGGGAGGATATCGATGTCGCTATCCTTGCACGAGGATAGGGCTGCTTCCGTAATCAAATCTATAATAAAGTTGAATAGAAACTGAGAGAGG